GCAAGGGCAAGACAAAAGGCAAGGGCTATGGCCCGAGGGTGAAGAAAGGCAAGACCGAGGCCCATCGCCGTTACCACAAATGTTGTGGCACGAGCTACGCCCATCGCCGACTACGCCAAGTCCGACAGGTGTCAACAACATGTAAAAGATAATCAAACGTCGAAAAAACAGCATACGGCAAGGGCAAGGCCAAACAGGGGAAAAAAGGCTATCCCAGAAAATGGTGAAAAGTGGTGGGCATATCAGATCTCACATTACTTCTGATGCGCGGCAACGCGAGCCCCGATGTATACAAGAGGGACGCAGTCAACGTAACGGCTCACCGCCTTGCAGCGGGTGTATTATGTTGCCTTGTTGGGTTCTGATTTGTATTGCATCGAAAACACGTCTTGCGAACACTTTTTTGATCCGCGGGTCGAGAGCGCACCTCTTCCGGTCGAAGCTAAGCGGGCCGCGCGAAGCTTGAATTAGGCAGAGGAGAGGAGGGAGGAAGCGGCGGAGCCTCAGAGCGAGGCCGAGAGGAGGCATAGCCTCTCATACAGGCGATGCCGAAGCCGAAGTTCTTGCAAAGGGACGCCTTCGGCAGGAGCCCGGTGGCGATGTACCGGAGAAGAGCAACATGCAACCGTAGGTGTTATTGTTGTCCACGTCTTGCGAACACGCAGGGCCCAGACCTTGCCCGTGTCGGCCAATCTTTGGGTAATTGGTTTCACCGTCAAGAATGGAAGTTGTTTTATGCGGGGGGTGACACCAGCCCCTAGTGGCACCTGAAGGCACGGACACGCATCACTCCTGCATGCCCTCACATCTTCCTCCGCAGGTAGAGGTGCATCTTCAATCTGTCACCGATGGAATTTGGCAGGCGTGCCGGGCAGCGGGGGGTTGGTCTTCCAATGGTCGCCATGAGACTTCGCATGCTTCTGAATTCACAGGCCAGCGTTCGACATGTTGAAGTTCGACACGTTTGGTATTCTCCCAACAGGCCAGGCAAAGATGGAGGATGTTGTTTGGTGGCGCAGCAGCATGTTTTGGAGGTGCGTCTCAAGATTTCGGCGGTACTAGTGACCTACATGTAGATAGCACGAGCGACATTCCAAGCACAGTTTTATGGATCCAAAGGAAGCTCGATGGAAGTGGGCAGCATATTGAACGACCTTTCGTACTCACATTCAATCGTGAGTCGGGCTCACAAGGGATACAAAGATGCTATCGACTTCGGAGAACACGGTCAGGACTCGCAATGGTGTTGGGGACGTAAAGTTGCGTCCAAGTTATGTGAGCACGGAAAATCAAATGATTGGTCCCATGGTTCACGTGCATTTTAATGGCGAAGCCAAACTTGAGGCAACATGCGCGTATTACGTGACAGCCACGATCTATTCAAAAAGCTTGAAGGCACGGGCCGTCTTCAGAAGGTAGAGCTGGGCACAGGCACGGGTATCCCATGCTCTTGCGTAGTGGTAGACGCCGCTTCCCCGGCATTGTCGAATTTTCGTTTCTCTCTCGACGCGCAGTCAGAAGACAACATGGTGTAACGTTTTACGGCAGATTCGAAGATGGTTGGCTCATCATCTTTCGGGGCGACGTCAGAAGTGGTTTACACGGACTCTTTCGGAGGCGCATGATGGAGAGGATCAGGCTTTCAACATCGATCTTGTGAGTAGATCGACCGAGTCCACCACGATGTTTATTGTAGGACTGATGAATGATGCTGAATGGAAGTGGTGAGGTAATTTCTCTTCGGTCTGCCGCACGGGGCCCTCTTCCATCAGCCACAGCGCCGGATCTTTCAGGATCCTGCAGTGACAGGGTCGAATTGACCCGGGCTTTGGCGCAGGATCTTGCAGGATCCTTCGCGTTGACTTTTGCTTGGGTGCCTGACCCGGGTCAGAAGATCCCCGAACATGTTGTGTTCGTTTCCTAGGTTCGACGAACAAATATTTTTGGGGCCAAACAATTCTGCAAACGATCCATTACCCGAGCCCTGCGGCAACAAAAAACACGACGCCGGGGATTCGGGCCTGTCCGACCCCCCCCGCGCGCTTCGCGCCCCTCCCTCCCTCGCCCCCCCCCTTCCCTTGCATTTTTCCGCAGGTTGAGGCATATGTTTTTTTTTTCCTCCTGGATCCAGGATCCCCCTCGATCCTCCTCTGCCCTCGATCTTCGATCCTCCTCGACCCTCCTCAACCCTCCTGGATCCTAGATCCTCGCTCCCCCTCGACCCTGCAAAGCCTCCTCGCTCCTCCTCCGCCTCCCCCTCCTCCTCGATCTTCGATCCTCCTCGACCCTGCTCGACCCCCCTCCCTCCTCGATCCTTGATCCTCCTCCGAACCGGTCGGGGGCGGCCAAAAGGGGGTGATGTCTAGGAGGGTATCATGGCGGGGACCATGGCATCTCCCCAGATTTCAGAAGGCCTTTTCTCATTGCGATGCGTCCCCGCCCCCCCTTGCGCCGCGCACATGCCGCCAGCCGCGATTTGCGCCTCCCTCTCTCTTTGAACGCCCCCCTCTTAGACGCCCATCCGCAGCTGAGGCGGCCGCATGGTGAGCCCAATCCTCGCCAGTCGGATTTCTAAAGTGCTGGCTGGTGCGCAGGATCAGAAGGATGCCTGCAGCCAAGCGAGGACCCCCAAGCGCAAAGCTCAGTTCAATTCCTCCGATTCTATTTGATCTCGATGACTTCCGTTTCCGATTCGATTCGATTTCGGATTCGGTTTGTCAGTTGAGGCATACTAGCCTGCCGATTTCTGCTGATTCGATTTCTGCCGATTCGGCTGCCGATGCCTGCCGATCCGATTCATCTCGATCGCCGATATCGGCTGCTCGATTCGATGCTGCCAAACAGTGGCGAAGCGTCCTGGCTCGCCTATAGGCCAACCAAAGAATGTTCTAAGAACCTCTTACGGTCCGCACGACATGTTCTTCGAACGTTTCTGGCTGGGGCTGTCTTGGTTCAACACAACAGGACCATGCTATAAGAACATCGATTTGGTTATGAGAACATTTGGGGGGTTCTAAAAACATGTCGTTGTATGATATCCTGATGCCAAGAAACGCCCTGCTTTTGAAGAAGAACAACAACACATAAACAGAAACTTTTCGCGCTCCGCGCGGACTTCTTGGATTCGCGCCTGGGTCCCCCTGGCGGCGCCTCCGGCGCCGCCCCTGGCGCGCTCCGCGCGCCAGGGGGGGGGGGGTACGCGCGACTCCACGAAATCCGCGCGGACCGCCAACAAGTTTCTGTTTACGTGGCTTCGTTCTTGATCTGTGCTTCCCTCCAGGGTGCCCGGCGTCTTGGGCCTCGACGGCCTTGCCGTGGAAAACGCGCGACGTCCCCGCGCAGACACACAACATCGCAGGGGACGTCCCGGGGCCTCGGGGTCGGGGGCTCCCCGTGGAAGGGCCCCTTCGTGGCCCATGGCTCCCGCTCCCCGCCCCAGGGCGCGCCAGGGGCCGCGCCGGGGCGGGGAGCCGGGGGCGCCGCGGCGCCGCCAGGGGGCCTCCAGCGCCGATCGTCGTCGTCGTCGTCGTCGTCGTCGTCGACGTCGTCGTCGACGTCGTCGTCGTCGTCGTCGTCGACGTCGACGCCGTCGTCGTCGTCGTCGTCGTCGTCGTCGTCGTCGTCGTCGTCGTCGTCGTCGTTCATGCTGAAGTCAGTTTCCGCTCCTCGAGCAGAGGTGGGGTTCGCTGGTGGCCGCAGGGTCCTGCCGCCCCCATCGAGGCTCAGGCGTGTGCACGGGTGCTCTAGCATCTGCCATTGTTCCTCCAAAGCCCGCCTGTAGGAGGGCATTCCCGACCTAACTCTAGCACCTCTCAGTGGCCTCATCGCCGAGCGAGGCCAGCGAAAACACAGACCATTCCTACCTCACGGTGTTGCAGTTCGTTCGCCCCCGTCCACCCCTTCCCCGCGCGTCGGGGGACGGAGAAGCGACAGCGCCACCAGCATCAGGGGGCCACCTCCAGCGAGGAGCTCGACGAGGACTCCCCGAGCTGGGGATAGAGGATGTCTCGAGCGAGGGGGGGGGGCCACATCACCAGGGGGACCCCCCCTGGGCTCTTCTTGCTGGTGGCCCCTGGTGGTGGTGGTGCCGCTTCTCCTTGGTCCTATCCCCCCCCCCTAGGGTCCATTTCGATCCGATTGATCCGATTCGATATCGGCTCTGGCCAGCTCGACCTGCTTTCCGATGTTCGGGCGATCCGATGCGGCCCGATGCCTGCACGGCGCTGCTGTGCCTCCTGGCGCAGACGACCTGAGCTGATTCCGACGCACCGCGCCGAGGCGCCCCAGCTCGATGTGCATTCCCAGACACGCGGTGTGCTGCTCACGCGGTCCCCGGAAGTCCCGACCCCGTTCCCGGGGACCCGTTTCTCATCCCGAGTCGTCGTGTGACGGTCCCGGGGCCCGTGAAGGGTCTCGGGACGCCGAGGACGACGAGCAACCTCCGTCCTGAATAGTTTTCCGACCCGATCATCGTCCGGGTTCCGACCCGACACGATATCCAGCTGCGATGCTGACCGATCCCCCGCCCGCGCGCGCCGCCGCCCCCAGCGAGGAGGAGGAGGAGGAGGAGGACGGGGAAGGAGGAGGGGGAGGAGGACCAGGAGGAGCAGGAGGAGCAGGAGGAGGAGGAGGAGGAGGAGGAGGAGGACGGGGAAGGAGGAGGGGGAGGAGGACCAGGAGGACCAGGAGGACCAGGAGGACCAGGAGGAGGAGGAGGAGCAGGAGGAGCAGGAGGCGGAGGAGGAGGAGGAGCAGGAGGAGGAGGAGGAGCAGGAGCAGGAGCAGGAGGAGGAGGAGGTGGAGGAGGAGGAGGAGGGAGGGAGGAGGACGACGGACGTGGAAGGGCTCCGATCGCCATGTCTTCGACGAGCCTCCGCGCGCCGCCGCCCCCGCGCGCCGCCGCCGCCCCGCCCCGCCGAGCGGGCGCGCGCGCGCCCCGCCGCGGCCGGCAGCGCCCGCGCGCGGGGGGGCCCGCTGGCGCTCGGCGCGACCCGCCGACGCGCCGGCCCCGCGGGCCGCCCTCGTAGCGCGCTCGCGCGCGATGGCGCCGCAGAGGTCGGGTCAGGGGCAACGGTAGGGGGGGATGGGCATAGGTCGGGTATGGCCAAGACCCCGGGGAAGGGGACCCGGTTTGTGGTAAGGGCCCCGGAGCCTTCGAATTGGCCAGAATCACTAAACCAGGTTTGCCATTGTCGGGTGACGGCAGTTCCGGTTAGTGGAAATTGGACTGGGGGGGCGCCCCCGGTACAGATCACTAAACCAGGTTCCACTAAACCCAGTTCTACCAACGCCCGAATAGGGGGGATGCATCGACCCCTAATCGCCCATTGATCGCCGATGGGGGCCTGATAGCCCCAGCCTGCCCAGGAGGGTGCGGATGCACGATCGGAGGCCTATCGCCGATCTATCGGCGATGTATCGCCGATTCCAGGTCGATGCATCCCCCCTATGCCAGTCCCCCCCTACCGTTGTCCCTTTTCGGGGGTGGGAAAGTCAAGCAGTGGCGAAGCGTCCTGGCGTGCCTATGGGCCTACGAAAGGATGTTCTAAGAACCTTTTATGGTCTCCACGAAATGTTCTTAGAACGTTTCTGGCGGAGCCTGTCTTGTTTTAGCACATCGGGTCAATGTTCTGAGAACATGGTTTTTGTTCTAAGAGCACTGTTGGGTTCGTAGAACATCTCGTGGTAGGACTATACGAATGCCAGGACGGTCGGTCCCTGCTCAAAGGTCGGGGGAGAAAAGGCACCCAGAGATCCAACGTATTGAAACATCAAGACGGAGGTCTGTCGCAAAGTTCAGCCCCCAGGGGCCCTCGCAGGGCCTCGGCACCGTCAAAAAACTCCCGATGACAAACGGGTTCTGGGAATGGGTCGAGACTTCCAGGGACCCCGCGTTGAAGAAAACACGATATCGGATCTCAGGGTACCCATACGTACCTCCTGCCCCCCCGCCCGTTTCCTCCTTCTTGGGCCTCCCGGGAGGCCCTCGCCGCCACCGCTGGATTCGCCCCGAAGTCCTGGTCAGAGCGCACGCCGGGAGAGGTCCGGGGAGTAGCGGTACGTTAGGTTCCTCCAGTGCTGCTCCTCTTGCCCTCCTGGGGCACGGAGGCGCTATACAGGGCCAAGAAGCGGCTTCGTTTCTTATTTGGCGTTCCTTCTTTCAGCGGCCCGACTGCAGCGGTACCGGTGCCTCTTGGCTTCCCCACCAGGGGGGCGCCTGCCCGGCGGGCGCGGCTGGCCGTCCTGGCGCCGGCCGCGGTCGCCGGGCTGAACGCGACAGGCGCCGCACGGGGGCTCGGCAGAGGAAGAGGTACCCTGTCGAGTCGGCAATGTCCCTCTGCAGGAGTGTTCAAAAATAGTCAGCAATAGTCAAAACATAGTCAAACAAGTGTTCAGAAATAGTCAAAAGAGGAGTTTGAAAAATAGTCAAACAATAGTCACAAGTTCTTGTTGATATGTGTATATATATGTATACATATGTGTGTTCGGCTTTGTTGCGGTTCTCTTCCAACATGCCTGTAGAAGGACATGCGCCCAAAGGTAATTACCCACAGCACTGCCCTCCCTCGACGAAGAACAGATCCATAAACATTAGGTTTTGCGCTCCGCGTGGATTTCTTGGGTCGGCGCCTGGGGCCCCTCGGTGGCGCCTCCGGCGCCCCCCCTGGCGCGCGCTCCGCCGGCGCGGATCCGAGAAATCTGCGCGGAGCGCGAAAAGTTTATGTTTATGTTTATGGAATTTGTTTTTCTTCTGCTCCCCTCGCTTTCCGCTTTCTGGGCCTCCTGGGAGGCTCTCATCGCCACCGTTGGATTCGCCCCGAAGTTCCCTGGTCAGAGCGCAGCCTGGGGAGAGGTCCGAGGAGAGGCCAGAGCGCAGCCTGGAGCGAGGTCCGGGGAGCGGCGGCATCGGTGCCTGTTGGTCTCCCCAGCGGTGCTGGTCGTCGTCACGTCGTGGTTGTCGTCCATGCTCTCGCCCTCTACTCCTCTCCCTCGCTCCTCGCCGCCCTCCTCCTCCTCCTCCTCCTCCTCCTCCTCCTCCTCCTCCTCCTCCTCCTCCTCCTGGTTCATGGTTCATGGTTCATGGTTCATGGTTCATGGTTCCTGGCGGCTGCAAGGTTCGTCAGAACGTAGCCTCCTCCCGCCCCCCAGGGCTGGTCGGCCCTGGGGGGGTTGAGCAAACCAGGGCCATGTAACGCGGTGGAGTATACAAAGGCAAAGGGGACGACAGACAGATTCCTCCTCCTCCTCCTCCTCCTCCTAGCTCCTCCTCCTCCTCCTCCTCCTCCTCCTCCTCCTCCTCCTCCTCCTCCTCCTCCTCCCGGTCGCCCTCCCCCTGTCCGGGAGAGGTCCGAGGAGCGGCGGTCTCGGTGCCTGAGCCTCGTGCTCCCCTGGGGCGGAGCGCTGGCGTCCCCCCTGAGATCCTTGCGCTGCGAGCTCTTCACCACGGGCGCTGGCGCCCAGCTTTGGGCCCCTCGCGTTGCATCTTCGGGGGAGCGTTTTTGTTGGTTCATCCCCAGGTTAACGCTCGTTTCCCGCCCCCCCCCTCCCCGGGAACGCGAACGATCGTACCGGGGGGGTGGTGGCTTGGACCCCCCCCCCTCCATGCTCGACCTGGTGCACACCAGCGGTTGATGCGCCGGTGGGGCGGACGCACCCTGGCGGGGGCACGCCACGGCCGCCGTTACCGCTACCCTCCCGACCGAATGCCCCCCCCCCTGGGTATCGACCATTACCCAGGATAGAACAATAGCGGTCACAGGGGGGGCCTCGCTTGTCCTTGTGATTGATGTTTCCTGTTGGGCCCGACGCGGATTTGGCGTGGATCCGACGCGGATTCGATACGGATTTATCACGGACCGGACGAGTCTGACATGGATTCGACACGGATTCGACGCGCACGCGTACCTCGGGAGTTGACGCAGGCAACGGTGGCGCTCCAGGATGCGCTTGTGGAGGTCGAGCTTAACACTCATGTTGTTAAGTCACGGCGTGAGTGATCTCGACATGCGGGATGATATTCCTCGTGTGATTCGACGGCGTGTCGGCGTTGTGTCGGCCAAGCAGGGGCGAAATCTAGGGGTGGACTACGCGCGTGGTCGTCGCGTCGGGGAAGCTGTTCGTAGGGGGCGTATCAGAGGAGCCCAGCATCGATTACGTATATCGGGGTGAATCAGAGTTGGGAAGCTCGAGCGGGCTGCGATTAAGAAGGTTGCTCGGTCGGGACTCGGGGCGAATATGTCGCTTGGCATGGGTGCGACTGGATGTTCGATGTCAAGCCTTGAGTCCATGCGTAGCACTGTGCTTTGTCACTTTGTCTTGCACTACTGCGGGTAAGTCGCGCACGCTCGCCTTGCTTTACGAGAGTGGGGCTGGTCCGATATTCGGAGCCACATTGCTATTTGCGTTCGCCCTGTGCCGTGCTACACGGGAAGGTTGGGCTCCGAGGCACGTGGTTCGGGATGGGATGGGAGGAGCTGTTAGGACCGCCCTGTGGGTGCAGGTGACACTTCCTTTCGGCGCGCGTGGCCTCGCGCTCACTCGGACTGGCTGGGAAGTCCAGTCTACTTCCTGTTGGGTGATGCATGATGGCGTTGCTCCTGGCATCCCGCCCGCGCGCCCGCGCGTTAGTAGACATCTCGCGAAAGGAGACGCTGCGCGGCAGTGGCGCCAGGTGACTCAGGATGAGGAGCTGACTCATCTGGAGCATGGTGCGCTTTGGGCCCAGCTGGTGCAGTTGGTGTCCAGTGGGCGTCCCGCTGTGCTTTAATAGAGAAATCCCCATTACTCGGCGCCGGCGCTCGAGGGCATTTGCGATCCTGTAGTGTCCATGGTCAGTGCCCTATGGCCAGGAAGCTTCAGGCTCGTCTTGCCGTGCGTGACGAGTGCACTGTCTGCCAGCAGCCCGGCGCGTCTGCGCGCAGAGATTTGGAGCGCACGCTCGCACCGGAGCATCCGTGCCCATGACGCCTTCGCTCCGTTGCTGGAGCCCCGGCCTCAGGCCTCGGAGCCCCGGCGGCCAAGGCAGCACCCCAGGGCGGGTCGGCTCCCGCGAGCTTGTGGGCGCCCCTGCGCCGCGCCGCGGGGGCCGCTGTGACGCCCTCCAGGGTGCGGAGCCCCTGGAGTTTTGAGGACGCGGTGTCTTGCGCGTGCTCGGGTGAGGCTTCCGACGCTGCTGGGGGCAGAGCTGGAGTTGTGGAGGACGGTCAATGTAGAGGAAGCATGTTGCCAAATCACTTCCAGATGTCTAAAAAATGTGTTAAACATGCTTAAAGACTGTTTAAGCCATGTTTAGAACATCTGTCAGACATTGTAAGCACATGTTTAATTCAATGATCGGATTGTTAGGGTGTCCATTGTCATGACATTCACAACGCTAGAGGCCTTGATTCTCTTGCTGCGCAACGCTCTGCCGCCCATCACTGCCGTCACACATATTCAGGTTTTTGTTTGTTTTTTTCTCCGTGGGGTGACCCGGAGAGGGCCCGAGGTCGCCGTCGCCCATGCGTCCGCACGTGCTATTGCAGGTGGCGGGCCTTCTCTGGAGGCCCCCCGAGGATGTCGGGGGGGCCTCTGCGGGGCCGGCCTGTGTCCACTCGCCAAGTGAAGAGTTACTGCTCTGGAAGCCCGAAATGAGTACGGAGAGAATGGGTGCAATGCCCAACAGCATTTCCCGTTCATTTTGAACAGGATTCGCTGTCCACGCCGCCGCGGCCTGTGTCCATTCGAGACAGAAGGCCGCCTGCCCAACAGCGGCCGCTGTTGGTTTGGGACACCATTTGTTGTTTGGCATTGTACCCATTCTTTCCGTGCCCATTTCGGGCGTCCAAAATTTCGCGATGTATGGTGTGGCCCAGGGTCACGTCTCGAGGCGAGGCCGCTTCGGCAGCTTCAGTGCCGACATCTGGGCTACGTTCGGAGCCAGGCGTGCACATGCGCCTGTCGAAGATCGTCGGCGCATGGGCAAAGCTGAGCAGTTTGTAGAGCAGGTTGGGCATAGATGGCGTGAGTTGGGCGCTCATCTGGACGCGCGTGACACTGTGCACATTGCTCGCCGCATGCGTGTCCGCCTGCCTCCACCCGCCCTGGATGTTGTTCCCGTGCAGCTCTTGCATGACCTTCGAGGGCCATCCTCGGAACCCTGGTGTGCTGTCTGCCGTTTCGTGGCCTCCGCGGCTCGAGTTTGTCCTGGCTTGATTTTGGTCGCGCGCGCGTGATGCCAACGAACCGTTGACAGCCCAGATGTTTGAAGGCTCACCGTTTGGTGACGTTTCAGGTCAAGGAATCCTCGTTGGAGGTGAGTGTCCCTGTGGTGCCGTGTGCGACGTGTGGAGCGCATTGCTCGAGGCATCTCGAAGGATCCCTGGCTCCTTGTCTGAAGCCTGCTGCACATGGTAAGAGGGCTATCCGAAGGATGAGCCAAGGATACCTCCCAGGTATTGCTGCACCTGTGCCCGCTGTAGCGACGCCTGTGAGTTGATGTGGCCCAGGATCACTCGGCCCTCAGAGGGGGGGGGGGCTTTTTGTAGCGTCGGGACAGGGAGGAGGAAGAGGAGGAGGATGAGACGGAAAAGGAGGAGGAGGAGGAGGAGGAGGAATAGCAGGAGGAGTTGAGGAGGAGGGCCAGGGCGAGCAGGGGAAGGAGGAGGAGAAGGAGAAGGAGGAGGACGAGGACGAGGAGGAGGAGGAGGAGGACGAGAAGGACAAGCAGAAGGAAGAGGAGGAGGAGGAGGAGAGGAGGAGGGAGGAGTAGGAGAGAGGAGGAGGAGGGGGAGGGGGGAGGGGAGGAGGAGAGGAGGAGGAGAGGAGGAGGAGGAGGGAGGAGGAGGAGGAGGATGAGGAGGAGGAGGAGGAGCAGCAGGAGGAGGAGAAGGTGGAGGATAAGGAGGAGGAGGAGCCGAAAGGGGACCTGGTTGAGGCGGAAGAGGACCAGGCCGAGGAGGAGGAGAAGGATGAGGACAAGGGCAACGCTACAAGCATAACGCTCAACATTTGCCTAAAGAAACGCAAGGGCGAGGAAGAGGACGAGGAGGCAAGCAGAAGAGGACCTGGACGAGGACGAAGGGAGGAGGACGAGGAGGAAGAGGAGGAGGAGGAGGAGGAGGAGGAGGAGGAGGAGGAGCAGGAGGAGGAAGAGGAGGGCGATGGGTAGGGGAGGGGGACAAGCTAGGTGCACCCGCATCATATCTGATGTTCTACCCCTCTCCCATCCCTTACCATGGCGTAGATATCATCTCTATCCGCACAGTCGGATGCCTAGCAGGGCAATGATCGCGAGAGGGTACGCGATGCATGGTAGAGCACGGCATGGCGTGGCGTAGAAGAGCACGGCACAGCGAGGCATGCCATAGCATGGCGTGGCATTGCGCAGTGAAACACTGCATCATAAAGCATTGCTGCGCAAAGCATGGCATCGCACAGTGGAGTAGAACACAACACCGCACAGCATGGTATTGCGCCAGGTTCCTTGGAGAGTAAGTGGATCGTCTTCGAGAGGTCTGGGCCGGTCTGGGCTCCCTTGGGCTCCCCGAAAAGCCCTACACAAGGCGAGGCTGATGGCGAGCACCCGGTGGCTCTGCTTTCAACCTCGTCTCCTCAAAGCCAAAATGGGGCTCCCGCTTCATACTTCCTGAAATCAACGACACCCCAAAGTGGGGAGGGAGGGCTTCTGAAATCAACGAATCGACACCGAATGTGGAATCACTTCGGAAGGGTTTTTCGGGGAGGCATTTTCTGGGAGCACGATTCGGAACAACCAGAGGCGTAGAAATGGGGCCAGCGCTTCAGCGGGAGCAACATGTTGGGACACCAAAACAAGCGAACACCCATTGCCAGGGACTCTTCTTTGTGCGTAAAAAATCAGCACGCGGAGGGGAGCGGATATCTTCTGGACGTCGTCAGGGGAGAGAGGAGAGTAGTATTCATACTGTGTAGCTGACAGAGGAGGAGGAGGGGAGGAGGAGGAGGAGGAGGAGGACTGGGAGGACGAGGAGGGAGACTGGGAGGAGGGGGTAGGGGCAGCCGCTTGTGCCAGCGCGAGGCGCTCTGTTGGACCACCTGTGCGAGGGCCACGACGAGGAGTGGGGGTCCTGCGCCGCCCTCGGGCGCTCCCCTCTGCGGCCCCCTCCGCCTCCGCCCCTCCGCTTTCGGGGGGGGTCCTCCTCCTCCTCCTCCTCCTCCTCCTCTTCTCCTCCTCCTCCTCCTTCTCCTCCTCCCCCTCCTCCTCCTCCCTCCTCCTCCTCCTCCTCCTCCTCCCTCCTCCTCCTCCTCCTCCTCCTACTCCTCCTCCTCCTCCTCCTCCTCCTCCTCCTCCTCCTCCCCCTCCTCCTCCTCCTCCTCCCCCTCCTCCTCCTCCCCTCCTCCTCCTCCTCCTCCTCCTCCTCCTCCTCTCCTCCCTCCTCCTCCTCCTCCTCCTCCTCCTCCTCCCCTCCCCCTCCTCCTCCTCCTCCTCTCCCCCCCCCCTCCTCCTCCTCCGGGGCAGCGGCACAGTGCGGCCCGAGCTCGCGCTCCACCGCGCGGCCCTCAGGCTATACCCGCAGACCCCTCGGGCCATGACAAAAAAACTCGCGACGGACGGTTTTCCGGTGTTTTCGGCCTTCCCAGACCCCCTCGGGCAATGAACAAGATCATGACGGGAGGTTTTTTGTTATTTTCTGCTTCTGAAGGGCTTGCACTGAAGGGGTCCTAGCGGATGTTCCCCAATCAGTGCTTGCACTGAAGGGGTCCTAGCGGAAGTTGAAGGATTTGGCGAAAGTTCCCTGCCGATTTGGGTGGCAGGCTGGGTTCCCGGGTTCCCAGGGTTCCCGGGTTCTTGGGTTCCCGATTCCGGTTCCGGGCCGATTTCGGAGGGCGGCGAGGTTCTCGGGTTCCCGGGTTCCTGGTCGATCTCCTTATCGATCGGTTTCATCATCGATCTCATTACCGACTACTTGATCGATCTCACCATCGATCTCACAATCGATCTCATCACCAATATCACAAGCGATCTCACTAGAGATCGCATGAGCGATCACTATCGATCTCATTGAATCGATTTCACTCTCGGTCTCACGATCGACCTTACACTCGTCCTCACTATCGATTCCACTATCGATCTCATTATCGATCCCACATCGATTTCACTCTCGGTCTCACGATCGACCTTACACTCGTCCTCACTATCGATTCCACTATCGATCTCATTATCGATCCCACAATCGATCTCAAGATCCATAGTATAAATTTTCAAATCATCCACTGATTGGGGTTTTTTTCAGGTGTAATTCTCTTCCACTTCTGGGGGCTCTCGGGACCGTCAAAAAACGACTCAGGATGAAAAACTGGTCCCCGGAACTGGGTCGAGAGACCTCCAGGGGTCGACGCAACGAAAAAATCATAAAGTCGGAGTCCAGGATTCCACTTCCTTGTCCACCTACGGTCCCTCCTACTATATGCCTCCTCCTGCCTCCCCCTGCCCCTTCCCGCCTGCCTCCCCCCCCCCCCACCCCGCAGCATGGAGGGCGCGCCTCTTGGCGCCACCGTGGGCGAGCGGAGGGAGGAGGAGGAGGAGGAGGAGGAGGAGGAGGAGGAGGAGGAGGAGGAGGAGGAGGAGGAGGAGGAGGTGGAGGAGGAGGAGGAAGGGGCGCGGCGCGTGCTGCCCTTGGGGTCGGCGGCGGCACCCCGAGGCCCGGACCTCGGGACGTGCGACGACTGCACCCCGGTGGCCTGGGCGCAGACGCCCCCCGTCCGACCCAGACCTGATGGGCAAATTTTCCACCACCACCACTGCCATACGCAGACCCCCTCGGGCAATGAACAACTCATGACGGGAGGTTTTTGCTATTTTCGGCCTCTGAGGGCCTTCGCCGGCCCTCGGGACCGTCAAAAAACGATTCGGGATGAACAACCCGTCCAGGGAAATGGGTCGAGACCTCCAGGGGTCGACCACCTTCCGACCCAAACCTGATGGGCAAGTTATCTTCCACCACCACCATTAACATGTGTAGGACGGGAGAAAATGGAGGATGAGGAAGTCCTTCGTCTCCTCCTCCTCCTCCTCCTCCTCCTCCTCATCCTCGCCTCCTCCTCTCCTCCTCCTCTCCTTCCTCCTTCTCCTCCTCCTCCGCCTCCCGCCCTCTCCTTCTCCTTCTCCTCCTCCCTCTCCTGCTTCTGGTAGTGGTGGTGGAGAATTGGCCCATCAAGACCCCCCTTCGGGTCATGAAGAAATCGCGCCGGGACCGTCAGAAAACCCAGAGATCCAAGGCATTGAACAAAATCAGCACGGAGGTTTTTCGCAAAGTTCGGCCCCAGGGGGCCCTCGCCATGCCTCGGGAACGTCAGAAAACGACGCAGGACGAAAAACCGGTCCTGGGGAATAGACGGAGACTTCGGGGACCCCGTATTGAAATAATCGCGGCATCGGATCTCGGGGAACGACGCAGGACGAACAACCGGTCCCAGGGAACGGGTCCAGACCTCGGGGGGTCGACGTTATCTGACAAAATCATTGCGTCGGGGGTTTGGGACGCCCCCGCCGACGCGGGGATTTAAGTCCCCAGACGTGTTCGCGTCGTGCACGAAATTATGGCAGAAGGTTTCCGGCTGGGTCCGGGGTCGTCGCAACAATGACTCGATCGGGATTTCGGCGGGATTCAGGGGGGTCCCTTCTTGATGATCAGGACGTCGGATGCTTGGGTCCACCACCACCGCTCTGGGGATTGCTCTTTTGGGTTCTCGGCGGGTGGTGGATGCGGATCTATGTTGGATTTCGGGGTACCCAGAAAGGTACCGATACCGCTCTCCCGGGGTGTGCTCTGACCAGGATCTCGAAGCGAGTCCAGCGGTAGCGACGAGGGCCCCCAAGGAGTCCCGAAGAGGGGAAAACGGACGCAGGGTAGAGGTATGGGGTACCTTGCCTTCTGATGTTCCAACATACTTTAGCCTTGATCACCCGAGAAAGCGTCGAGCACCAGGAACGTACCGAAACTTGAAAGTTTTCACCTGTCGGGCCCTGGGAGGCGATATTCGTTCGACACCGTTTCGGTACTTGTCTGGGTGCTCGAACTTATTTCTGGAAAGCCGTTCTTAAGTACGATGGGAGCTACATAAACTTTGTACTCCTCTGATATATATTGGGTCCTGGCGGGGGGGAGTTGCTCCGAAGGGCTTAGGCGACCCGTCCTCCTCCTCCTCCTCCTCCTCCTCCTCCTCCTCTTCCTCCTCCTCCTCCTCCTCCTCTCCATCCTCCTCCTCCTCCCCTCCTCCTCCTCCTCCTCCTTCCCTCCTCCTCCTCCTCCTCCTCCTCCTCCTCCTCCTCCTCCCTTCCTCCTCCTCCTCCTCCTCCTCCTCCTCCTCCTCCTTCTCCTCCCCGCCTCCTCCTCCTCCTCCTCCCTCTCTCCCCTCCCCTCCCCTCCCCTCCTCCTCCTCCTCCTCCTCCTCTCCCTTCTCCTCTCCTCCTCTCCCTCCTCCTCCTCCTCCTCCTCCTCCTCCTCCTCCTCCTCCTCCTCTCCTCCTCCTCCTCCTCCTCCTCCTCCTCCTCCTCTCCTCCTCCTCCTCCTCCTCCTCCTCCTCCTCTCCTCTCCCCTCCCCCTCTCTCCTCCCCTCCCCCTCCTCCCCCCTCCCCCTCCTCCCCCTCCCCTCCTCCTCCTCCTCCTCCTCCACCTCCTCCCTCCTCCTCCTCCTCCCTCCCCTCCGGCCTCCGCCATCCGCCCTCCTCCTCCTCCTCCTCCTCCTCCCCTCCTCTCCTACCGCCTCCCCTCCTCCTTCTCCTCCTCCTCCTCCTCCTCCTCCTCCTCCTTCCGCTCCTCCTCCTCCCCGCCCTCCTCTCCTCCTCTCCGCCCCCTCCTCCCCTCCTCCTCCCCCTCCTCCTTCTCCTTCTCCTCCTCCTCCTCCTCCTTCTCCTCCTCGGTCGGCTACGGCCCAGGAGGGGGGGAGGGGGGGGGGGGGGGGGGGGGGGAATTTCCTGCCCCCCCGGGCCCAGAGGCGCCGGGCCCAGACCGGGCCCCCGACTTGGCGACGCGCACGGGGGTGCAGGGGGAGGGGGGAAGGCTTTCAAGAAGCCGTCCCGCCTCCCCCTGCCCCCCACGCCCCCTCGCGCTGTGGAAAAAGAACGACGGGGGGGGGGTCCGCTATGTTCAGCCTCTGGGGACCTCGGGGCCGTCAGGGGCCGTCAACAAACGACTCAGGATGACAAACCGTTCCCCGGGAAGAGGTCCATGACCTCGGGGAGTCGACGCTGTGGAAAAATCACGACGTCGAGGGTCTGGGTTCTAAGAATCGTCCCCCCTCCCCCTGCCCCTTTGCGCGCGCCGCCGACCGACGTCATGGTTTTCCTCATGACGTCGACCTCCAGGGGTCACGGCCCTGTCCCCCGTCGTTCTTTGAGGGGATCCTGGGGCCCGGCGAGGGCTCCCGGAGGCCGCAGCAGGCGAGCCACCTCCCGCCGTGAGGTTTTTTTTTCTCATGGCTCGAGGGGGCCTGTAGGGCTCGGTGCCCCCGGCGGCGGCTCTGGATACCCAGACCCCCTCGCGTTGTGACAAGAATCACGATGGGAGGTTTTTCGTCATCTTCGGCCTCCTTTGGGGGCCTTCACTGGGCTTTCAAAGAAGATTCAGGATGAACAACGGGTTCCGGGGAATGGGTCCAGGAGGAGGAGCAGGAGGAGCAGGAGGAGCAGGAAGAGGAGAAGGAAGAGGAGGAAGAGGAGGAGGAGGTGGAGGAGGAGGTGGAGGAGGAGGTGGAAGAGGAGGAGGAGGAGGAGGAGGCGGCAGAGCCGTTTGCCCACTCGGGGTGGGGCGGACGCCGCCCCACGCGTGGGCGGGCGGCAGCGCGGCGGCCGCGATAGGGGCTGCAGCGAGGGGGAGGACCCCCCACATCCCTCGCAGCGGCGGCAGCCCCTGGCGGCAGCCCGCGGCGGACCAGGCTGCGCGCGAGGCGCGCGGTGGGCCGCTCCAGGAGCAGGCCAGACGGCCAAGCGCCCCGAGGGCGCCGCACATCGCCGTCAGCGGCGACAGCGTGCTCAGGCCAGGATACTGCTCAGGGTCACCAAGGCGCAGAAGCTCTTGGCGGCGCACCATTCGAGTATGGCGAAGCCAGGCAAATGGACTTGCATCGACTGTGGACAGAGTAATGAACCAGCTTCATGGCAGTGCTCTAAGAAGAGCTGTAATAATACCTGGAGGAAGCAAATGCAGAAGCAAGCAGACCAGCGACGACGAGATCGAGACAACGTCACGTTCAGGAATGAGATTGCCAAAGTTCTCGAGGAGACGATGATGAGCACGAGCAAGTATGCCTTGAATCACGCCATGTACAGCCCACCTCCGAAGTCGGACGTTGCCAAGTATCGGAAGTCATTGGAGGAGAGGATGCACAGAACTGCGGAAGTTATTGTACATGGGCGGCGTCTGGGAACTTGCGTGATCACTCAAGAGAAGGAGCTGAGCGTTATGAAATGGATGATGTGGCAGCTCAAACCTTGTGCAATTCAACGGCGTGAGGCAAAGGATAATATTACGAAGACGGAGGAGAAGTTGCACAAGATTGAGGGCAAGATCGCAACATTGAAACAGGAGGCGCTTTATGAAGAGACGCTGTTGGACTACTACCATGATTTGTTTCGAGAGGCAGCTGAAGGAGAGGCAGACACGGCAGAGTTATCAAGTACGGAGGTGGATATTGGTTACGACAGGAGGGTGGCTTTGCAGAAGGACCTTCGAGCAGGTGATGAAGAGCAGCCTCCACCACCACCTCCGCCACCACCGCCGCCGCCACTTTCCAGACGTGATCCAACGCCAATTGTGGACGGCAAACATCTTCGTTGCCAGGCTTCTCTGCGACAGCCGCAAGGGCAAGTTTCCAGAGGTCTAGGCACAGTACAGCAGCTAGGATTGCAGAACCCAGCGCAGGACGATGCCCGTCGGCCTTCAGTCTCGCCTGTCAGATTGGATCCTTACGGTGGCACTAGTGTACGTACAACATCAGGAAGTATGCCTGGGAGTTCGTCATACGGACCCTCGTTGTTGCCATATGCATCGATGCCTTCATCTAGTGCTCAGCAGACACCGCAGCCTCTTTCAGTTGGTCTACAGACGCGGACTCCAGCGACACAGCCTCCGCCGACAGCAGCTCCGCAGGTACCGCCAGCCCAGGTGACGCCGCAGCCACCCCGCAGGGAAGTTGACTTCCCCATGACGGTCGACAGCAGCAGTTCAGTGGCGGCAACATCGGTAGCTAAGTCAGCACCGAGGACAGAACTACTCTCGAAGGAGCAGGCTAAGGTTTACGAAAGCGAGTGCAAGGCGGCCAGACACAACGAGTGGCTGGAGCAGCAGAGAGCAGCGGCAGCAGCTCATCAGCACAACCTAATGCTACAGCAGCAGAACAGGCAGTTACAGGTCCAGATCGAGTGCGGACGTCGAGAACATAGCGGAGAGCAGCAGGAGCTGGAGCACCAGAGGCAGCAACTTGCAAGTCGCGAAGTGGAAGTACAGCGCTTCGGGCAGGAGGAGATGGCCAAGATTACGTCGATCATGCAGCAGCTCCAGCGACGTTCAGAGGAGGTGGACGAACAGCGTCAGGCACTCGTCGAGATGGACAAAGCCAGGCAGCAGAAAGATACCGAGGACATGGAGCATTGGAAGCGAAGTCAGATGGCGAGAGTGGCTTGCGAACTCAGAGAGGTGCAGGAGATGAAGGCCGAGAATGACGAGCGGTACCAGA